CCAACAAAAACAGAGCATGTTTCTTGTTGAATGCGTACTTAATTCTTATATAATTTAGATTTTATATACTATTTAGCCACTTAATCATACCATGCTGCTTTATGCTACTCTCACATTCCCCAATGAAGAGGTTTTTGAGATTGTAATTACTAGAATTCTCCACCAAGATGGAAACTTTAGAAGATACCAGCTATGGACTCTTCTGTAAGTACTGAACATGGGAAGAGATAGAAAGAAAAATGAAAGAACTAATGTAGCTAAAAAGAAAAACAAGAAGCAATCTTATATTAATTTACTGTAAATATATTTAAAAGCTGGCAATAAGAGGGAGGAAAAATGTATTACTTTTTGGCACTGACTGTGAGATTTTTTTTTAAAAAAAGGTAAATTTTAAGACTGAAGCTAATATTAGTATTACTTTTTTTTATTAAACATTTTTATTAATTTTTCAAATAAAATATAAACAAATAATACAAATATGGTGCATTTCATTAGAAAAACAAACACATAAAAAACCTATTCCGAAATAATCGGCGTTCCCCCCCCCTGCATCCACACTCCCTCCACCTTCCTACCTACTTCCCTCTTCCTTCCTCACTTTTTTAAACTGCCTTAAGGCTACTATTTCACTAAGACAAATTTATGTATAGATATAAATAAATCTATATAGAGATAAATTGAATCAAGGCAGATACATATTTATTGTCTTTTAGAAGGATTATCACGACATATTGAGTCCAATCTGCTTTTGATGATGTTTTGTTTTGGTAATGGTTTTCCCTGCCTCTGTTATTTAATTATATTTATATTTGCAGATATTACTTGACTAATAACTTGTGATCTTATTAGAAGTTTCATAAGGCACCAGCAGAGAGAACCACTGAAAAGCAAAACTGACAATATATTTACACCATTAACATTAGCATTGTAATCTTCCCTTCTACCTTTCTCCTCCCCCGTATTTCATCTGGGTTGAATTTGTGTGTGTGTGTGTGTTAAATATTTTCTCAGAGAGAGGCTTGTTTTCTTGTTACTCATAACACGTCACACACACTGACAGGGCTATATTATTATTAATTATAATTAGAACACCAGCTCTACCTTGACTGATACTGTGGGTTGACAATCTCTGAAATAAATTGGAGTACTTCCTGCCTTTACATTCTTTGGGTTCCAAGAAAGATTTTTGGACTTTGAAATGTGGCATCCCTTTCACCTGTAGATGAACTTTTTTGTTTGTTTATGTGTCTGCCATTGACAGGATAATGACAAGGTGCTGCATGGAGTGGAAATACTTGTTGTTATCTGTTTGGCTGCTGTACTGGAGTCACTGAAGGTTTATTGCTGAATCAACATATTTCGAATTGGACATTTTGCTTTACAGATCACACTCCTACCATTTTAATTTGCTTTTCATGCCCCTTTATGAAATGTACAATTTATTTGTGGACATTAAAGTCTGGAGCAGTAGACTAGATTCACTGATTCCTGGAAGTAAAATAGGTCAAAAGGTCATTAGAGATGAATTATGGTTTTTAAATTCCTTCAAATTATGATCTGCTAAGTACTCCTTGAAAAGCAGAACTGGGCTCATGCTTTATGCTAAATCATAAGGCTATGTGCTTTGTTTTGTCTTGACATATTGAGTGAACCTAATCATTATGATTATAAACCATGGCTTATGGCTTAACTTATACAAACACAATCAATTGTAGTTTATTGAACTCATCATGATTAAATTAATCATTAGTTAGTACTAGGAGTAAACTCAAAGGAAGTATAATAAAATATTTATGAAGAGTCAGCCTGACTTACACCATGACATACTACCTCTTCTTAGAGCAGGGCTTTTCACCCATTGTACCACTTTTAGGATATGGCAACATCCGAGTACCACCAGTCGCCTAGCATTTCTGTTGAGGATTGGCAGCAGAGGTGAGGGGGTGGGGGGTGTTTGGTTTTTATTCCCCCTGTCTGCTGGGTGGTTGTAGCAGGTTTTGGTCACTTCACATGACCCTGGGACACTGTGACCGTCATAAATATGAATCAGTTGCCAAGCATCTGAATGTAAATCCCAAGACCCTGGAGATGCTGCAACATTCCAGCCGATCGGCGCTTCTTCTGGGCTCAGCAGAAGTGCCAGGATCAGTGCTGCTTTCCAGCTGATTGGTGCTTCTTCAGGGCTCAGCAGAAGCACCATGATCAGCGCCGAGCTCCAGCTGGAACCTGGCGCTGATCCTGGCGCTTCCGCTGAGCCCTGACAGCCCTGCAGCTCCAGCCATCTCTCGCTCAGGCTTGTGCGGTGCTGCCACCAGTTCAGCTCATTCCCCTCCCCCGCTATCACTTTTCTAGGATGGTCGCGTACCACCTACCAGGTGCCAATGTACCACAGGTGGTACCCATACCACTGGTTGAAAAGCCCTGTCTTAGAGAACACACACTAGGAAACGTGTGAAAAAGCTCCCTAAACTACAAATTGGTCACGGAGCTATCAGAATACTGAAATAAATCTATCGGAATACAATGCAGCTGCCAGTTTGGCTTATTCCAGAACATAGGTATCAAACTCGCCGCATCACATGACGTGTCGTGACTTTTTTTGCATTGCCAGAGCTGGGGTGGGCGCAGCCTACGTATGACGCAATCGGCCTGCGGGCCGGCAGTTTAACACTTCTGTTCTAGAAAGTCAGAGATGGACTGGTCTAAATGGAGCCTATAATTAACAATATAGTAACAGAGAGCAGCCTTACTGCAGATATAGGGATGAGGCAGTTTGACACCCCTGTTCTAGAAAGTCAGAGATGGACTGGTCTAAATGGAGCCTATAATTAACAATATAGTAACAGAGAGCAGCCTTACTGCAGATATAGGGATGAGGGGTGCCTCTCCCTTGCTAGTTCTTTTTTAAGTTCAGTCAGAGACCAAACATTTCAATTTGCCATGAGAAAAACTGTAAATGACAGAAGGTGAAGAAGAAGAAGCAAGTTCAATATTAATTAAATCCTTTCAGTATGTCATGTACTGACGGCAAATTTCTTTTCTTTTTTCTTTCTTTTTTAAGTGCTCATCTGTACATATGTGAATCTGTCCAGCAGCTACAAAACCCCTTTGCAGAAATAGCTCACATTATTATATTTCAGAAATGGTAAAATAGAACTTTTACTACTTTTACTACTTTTATGGTGACCTTCCTTTCAAGAAGTGCTAGAATAAACTAAAAAACTCTTTGAAATTAAAATAAAAAACCTGGAAAGATATTTGACTGCCTTTAAAAATAAGTACAATAACCCAGCTCATCTGGTGGGTCTTTGGAGAGAAAGATAAAAACTGGTTAGCTTTTGCTCATGTCCAGTTCTACCATAAACCTCTCTGAAATAAAAAAAAACCAACATTCAATCCTAGTGGAATTTATCTTTTATATTTCTATAGGTAGTCCTTGACCTACGACTGTAATTTCCATTTGTATTTCATGACAATCATAATTCAAAGCACCCACATAACTGACCCATTTTTTCCATTGGCCGTTAAGTGAATGCAGCAGTCATTTAAGTGAATGACATGGTCCTTAAATGAATCTATTGCCTATGATAAGAAGTAAACACTGGTTTCCAGCAAAAAATAAAATTGCAGTTATATGAGCATGGGATGCTGCAAATGACTATAAATTCATTTATTAAATTTTTATGCTGCCATCTCAATCAATCAATCAGAATAGAGCTGGAAGGGACCTTGGAGGTCTTCTAGTGACTACTCCAATCCCCTGCTCAAGCAGGAGACCCTATATCATTTCAGATAGGTAGCTGTCCAGTCTTTTCTTAAAAACCTCCAGTGATGAAGCCCCTACAACTTCTGAAGGCAATCTGTTCCACTGGTTAATTGTCCTGTTAGGAAGTCTCTCCTTAATTCCAAGTTGCTTCTCTCCTTGATTAGTTTCCATCCATTGTTTCTTGTCTTGCTTTCTGGTGCTTTGGAAAATATGTTGACCCCCTTTTCTTTGTGGCAGCCCCTCAAATACTGGAATACTGCTATCATGTCACCTCTAGTCCTTCTTTTCTCTAAACTGCCCATACCCAATTCCTGCAAACATTCTTCGTATGTTTTTGTCTCCAGGCCTTTAATCATCTTAGTTGCTCTTCTTTTTCCCAAAGTCTCAACAACTTTTTTGTAATGGGGTGACCAAAACCGGACGCAGTATTCCAGGTGTGGCCTGATTTTTGATTTTATGCCTCTGTTTATACAACCAACTATTGTATTAGCTTTTTTGGCTGCTGTTGCACACTCTGGCTCATGTTAAGTGATCGTCAACTAGGACTCCAAGTTCCCCCTCACTGTTACTGTTTTTGAGCCTATTCTGTACTTATGCCTTTGTTTTTTCCTGCCTAAGTTTAAAACCTTGCTTTTCTCCACATTAAATTTCATGTTGTTGGATAGGGCCTATTGTTCAAGTCTTTCAAGGTCTTTTTAGATCCTGAGCTTGTCTTCTGGGGTGTTGGCTATTCCTGCCAGCTTAGTGTCATCTGCAAATTTGAGTTCCCCTTCTACTCTTTCATCTAAGTCATTTATGAAGATATTGAAGAGTACTGGGCCTAAGATGGAAACATGTGATACCCCCACTGCTTACTTCCCTCCATGTAGACGTAGTACCATTAAGGACGACTCGTTGAGCACGGTTTGTCAGCCAATTACAAATCCATCTGGCGGTGATGCTGTCTATCCCACATTTTTCTAATTTAACTGACCCTGTAGGCCAGTTATCAATTGCCCAAAATGCATTTGTGTCATGCATGGGAGAGGCCATTGGACCTTCTAATCTGGGTCATAAGTACCTTTTGGAGGGTTTGTAATACCTTCAAATAGTCAGTTAAGGACAGTCGTAAGTCAAGGACTACCTGTAGTTCGAAGGTCTTTTTTTATTTTCCATTCCTCTAATGATATTTTACTACTGTAAGTTTTTAAAAGTATACAGTAACCATGTACTTGGTAGAATCATAGAGACTTACATTGCAATTGGAAGAAACATCAAAAGTTGGATAAGGACTATCAGACCATTCAGATGCATCCATGTTTCCTGATTGCCGATGTTGAGCTTCATATTCCTTAAGCTGAAATGAAAATAAAAAAAAGAGTAATCCCTCAATTTTTTCACTTGCTAAAAATATATTTATTTAGTTTAATTTTTTTTACAAGCAAATAATTATTGGAGAAATTAAGGCTCTGGTAATATAAATGCAAAACAGTTATGAAGATATCTTTGTTCTTTAGATGTTTATTTAATTATTTATATTGCTTATTAATTAATAACAAAAGAAAAAAGAGCAAAACATAAAAATGATAGTGACAATGTTATTATATACACTGCCAAAAAGATGGAAAAATATATAAAAAGTGCTCTATCAAATAACTGAAAAATACAACAAAGACATATCATTAAAACAACAAAGTTACAATTGTATATACTTGTCTAATGCAAATATTATTCAAGTATGTATATATTTCTAATGCGTTTATAACACATCTTTTTTAAAATTACTGTACAGTGGAACTTTTGTTTAGACTGTTTTGAAAAACAGTGCACACATATGTGCATGTGTACACACACACACACATACTCACACACACAAACCAATCTAGAAAATTAATCCTCAGTGGAGAAAGAGTTTTATACGAATGGGAATTTTAGTTACATACTGTATAATTGCAGAGCTAAAAATAGTCTTGTCTAAAATTTCATCCATTGTGAGGATATTTGCTATAAATGTAAAATATATAGTAACTTTTATTGTTCAGATTAACATTAAAGAATAGAATTAATGTTTCCAGGTTTGTTTGTTTTTTACATTAAGAACTTTACATTAGAAATGTGTTCATTCAGGATTCTGTTTCCTGGTTAGAAAAGACAGAAATGTCTATCTGATCCATAAACCCAGCTACAGTATTTAGAAATTCCCTGTATTTGTTTGATTCTCATAATTATGGATGCTATGCACAAGACTCTGTGATTCACTGATGTAATCAGGCCTATCATTTGTCCCTAGCACATATAACGTATTTGCATTATGTACCCTTGCAAGAGCTTCCTCAATAGTAATCATCTTCTCCTTGACCATCATCATTAGCTGGATCCGCTCCTCGTCACTCATTGTGATTTCACTTGCCACGTAGCCAACATCTTCCCCTGGAGATAAATAGGAAAGATGAAAGAATAAAGGTATTTTGGTTCAAAAGAAATGTGAGTCAAGCACAATAAGGTATGATTTTCCCAGTGAATTTGCCATGTTTAATCATGCTACTTAATTCCCCACTTATTCACATTTTAACCTCTTTATTTAAGTTTTGAAAACTGCAATGATCTTAACATTTCAGAATGAGCAATGACACTGGAGATAGAAAATTGCTATTTTTAACTCCTCTGTATGGAATGCTTCATTTGATGTGTATATGATTTGCAATGATTCGGGAAAATAATGATGTTTATGTGACTTTCAGAGAATTATTGAGGATATTATGTTAATATCATGTTATGACATCACTATGCTCAGTATGCAAATTTTTGCCCAATCTGAATATGGAAACTATGCAAATTGTCTGGGCTGCATGACATTATGACAATTTTATCAACATTACAGCGCTAATAGGTTTAGCATCTTTGATTCCAACATCTACATGATTAATGTCTTGTATGAAAGATGAGATGTAAATTTTATAAAACTGGAGCAATTTAACCCATAGTGCCAAACCAAAGCATGTTTTAATAATATTGATCAAGGGTTACCCAATATATACTTTTGAAGGCAGTCTTATGCAAGAGAAGATGGACTATTTTATTTTATGATAAAATTGTATATTTCTTAAAACTATCAGATATAGACAAATTTGCCTAAGATGCTATTGGTCCATTAAAATCATAAAATCAATACAGAATTATCAAAGCAGAAGACAGTATAAATTGAGATAATGAACAAAAATAACAATATATGTATTGTGACGTGAGAAAACAAACCCCGATTTTTCACATGTGGTTGTAACTATATAAACCAGGACTTGCTTTATAAAGTCCTAATGCCCATTTTGTCAGTTGCCTTGACCCTACTCTGGGGATGTCTATATGACTGTATCTGCATAACGAAAGTAGAGAAACATGAAGTTTTGTGGGCTGGATCTAAATTCAGATACTCCCTGATTTAGCTGACCCCTCCAATGGAAGGGTGCTAAAGGACTTTTTTTTTCCTCCAAGAGACCCAATTTGTGAATAGTAGAATAATAATAGAATAATAGTAGAATAATAATAGAATAATTATGTTAGAAAAGAGCTTTATCCCATGATAATTCAGCATATAATTGTTCTAAGAGATAACAAAAAATACCTGAAGCTTTGCTCAGAGTTAATAAGAGATAGTATAGTAGATAACCCAGTTTTCTAATACTTTGGAACTCATTGAACACAGAGCATTATAAAATAATTATGACCATCCTTGTAAAGATTAAAGCTGAGTACATAAATCCTGCTTAAGGGCCCAACAGCTATATAAACCTTCTTTCCCAATTTAATAATGAAAAAAGAACTTCATTAAAATTTTTACCTTTTGAAGACTGTCTCATTAGTCCCTTCTGATTCTTTCGGAAGTTTTGCCAGAAGTATTTATTCTTCTTTTTCCAATCTACTTTACCTAAAGATTTTAAATATATGCACTCAATAAGAAAAGAAAACCACTATCATCATTCAGCTTCAAAAACGTCAGTTTTAAATGAGCTGTCATAAATATTTATTATATTTGAATAAGGAAGGCTATCAGAATATTTGGAATAAACAAATAACATATAGGGTTCCTTTTTAATGAAGCTACATCGCTGCAGTTATTTTGGAAAATTCCATGAATTAAAATCCAGATTAAAAGTCTATAATATATTTTGTTTTCTGTTTATTATTTTGAAATTTCATTTATAAACTAGTGATGCCCAGCATTTGGTTAAGGTCCACTTTCTGATTTTCTTTATTAAAACAAGTACAGAGTTAAAAGGAAACCAAAAGGCTCCAATAGGTTTGGTTTTAAGCAGCGAAGACCTTTGCTAAAAAAGAAATAGAAAAGGAAAAAGCCAAGGGTATGGCAAAGAACAACTGACATCCATAATTTACGGAAAAGCAGAATATGGTCAACAATTAAATAAAGACACCTCCTATTCTTCTGGGTTTAGTATGACTCAACATAATTGATCGCAGACATAAGGAAACACTACAGGCAGTTCTTGACTTATGACCACAATTGAGCCCAAAATTTCTGTTGTTAAGTGAGACAATTGTTAAGTGAGTTTTGCCCCATTTTATGACTTTTCTTGCCACAGTTGTTAAGCTAGTGACACAGTTGTTAATTGAGTCTGGCTTCCCCATTGACTTTGCTTGTCAGAAGGTCAAAAAAGATGATCACATGGTCCTGGGACACTGCAATCGTCATAAATATGAGTCAGTTGCTAAGCATCTGAATTCTGATCACGGGACCATGGGGATCTGCGACGGTCGTAAGCATGAAAAACGGTCATAAGTCCCTTTTTTCAGTGCCTTTGTAACTTTTAAAAGCTAAAAGAGGATTTTGGAGGCAAAAGTTCTTTTAGAGGGAAAAGTGCAAGTAGCAGAACAAAGGAATTTATTGTATGTGTTTTGAGAATCGTGACTTCGCATACATTTTGTTATAGCTTTTTCAAAGCAAAGCTTCCCCCCACCCCTAAAAAAAAAAAGAAAATAAGAGGAAGCATACTGACCAACTGCACTTTCTTCAGAACTTGATTTATGAAGAGAGAACCTAAAACACAAAAGAGAAAGAGATAGTGAGAGTTGTGGCAAACATCTGCTGCTCCACGAAAGCTGGGTGGTTTGTAATTAATTAATATTTGTGGAATAGCATATCCATCCCCTTCCCTTCTTTTTTTTTTTCCTATGAAGCCAGGAGGAAGAAATAGCATGCCAACTTCAGCTTCACACTCACACAATGGCATGAGGTCAGCTCCATTGAGAATGCTTTGAAATGATCTTCTTGTGACTGATGCAGAAAAATATGTTATGGAGGACAAAAATGTTAAAGTTGTGGGGTCAAAAGGGGAAATGGACCGAAGGAAGTCTTTAGCTCTTCCCTCTCTCTCAACTGTCTGCCACAAGAGACAAACACAAGAGAAAACTTTTTAGGAAAACACCATTTTACACATGTAGTTCCAATACACAAATCTTATGAGGCTATCTACATTTCCAGCTATCCACTGAGTAGTTACTTAAGAGATAAATCAGATGGCTCCCCAGGTGAACCTTTTAGCTGTCTGACAAAGTTCTCCTGTTTGTTTCTCTCTTTTCTGTGCCCAATTTGCCTTTATTAAAGAGACAACAACCTTTCTCATATCATATTCAGATAGGTATTTGATGGAGATAAATAGTCCAGGAAGATCCTCTGCCATTATTTGGCTACTTATATTTAAATTGCAATTCATAAGTAAGCTTAAACTTCCCATTTTGCTTTCTATCAATTTACAAAAAGTAACGATCAGTTGTATAGAAAAACTACCTGCATAAATCAAACAGGAAACATTCCACACAGACAACAGGACCACATCTTCATTCTAAAGCAGCATTGTGTTTGTTATATTGTTTCATATTATGTATTTTACGACTAAAAGCAAACAGATTGGATAGCAATTGTGTCATATTTCTAGAAAACAAGATGGAAATTTCATTTCAAATGCACACTGAAGCTGCATTACACTTTGACCTATGGTTTTGAGTTTGCAAACAACCCTGGTGTGCAGTTTCTAAAATTAGCAGTGGAGGGCAGTGCACAGTCTTTAATCACCTCTGAAAAGTGCCAAGAAGAAATTAAATTGTGCCTTGTTTTAGACCAGTCACAGTCCCTGTCAATGATCCAAATGATTAGAGGCCAACTGTTTATAAGCATGAAAAACATAATCATCAATTTGTAGGGACATCATGAAAGGGAAAATGATAGCAAGAAGTTAAATTCTGATTCAGTAAATTCATCCAAGCAGAGGCAATAACTGCAGTGCCCAGACATGGCAAATCATCTTTCTTTAGCCTGATTAGAAATTTAATCGGCACCAGCCGGGCAACCAATTGACACACCAATTCCAGATCAGGGCGTGCACCAGGTGCATATTGGAAGAAGGCCATTGCTAGTTTCCTGACAGATGCAGTTTACACTCAGGACAACAACTTGCAAAAAGAAAATTGATAGCTTGGTTAGATTCACAGCACCAGCAGCCAAGTATCCGATTTTTCAAAAGGACTCAAGAAATATAGAAGATTTCTCTGTATGTGTGTGTGTGTGTGTCTTCTGAAGCATAGATCTAATGACAATTTCTAAACCACCCAGCAGTGTTTCAGTCAAGTTTGTACAGGAACCTAGAAGAATGCACTTAATCACTTAATATATTTATTAGAGTGACTAACAAAAAAAAAGAAAGATAAAAGCTTAAGAGCAAAATGTTTTGGCTTCCAGCTTCTTCAGCTGTTTTAAAGCAGGGTCCTCTTTATGAGCAGCTGAAGTGAATGGAAGCCTTTGGCTTTTGAATTTGAATATGTTGTGCACATGTGCGTATGAAGGATAGTGGTATATGTGTATATGTGTGTGTATGTGCATATAGACACACCCACCTCAAGAGAGATTTTATTTATCTTACTTGTTTAGCCATCCACCTGACACAAAAATGACTCTGGATGATGTGCAGCACTTAATTAAAATGAAACAATAAATACATTAAAACAACCACAATTAAAAACTATTAAAAAGGCATACAAAATAGGAGAGGATAATATGAACCACAGTAAGAGAGCTATCACAAAATCTCCCTAAGCCTGATATCATATCGAGGTCTTGAAAGACTTGTGGGATGTTGAAAGCGATGGAGTTAATCTCACTTTTGGTCAGAGAAGATTCCACAAGGCAGGGGCTGTGGCAGAGAATGCCCATCTCTTGGGATGAGATATACACAGGACCCACAACATGCCTTCGCTGCCACACCTGATGAGACAGACAGATGTAATTGGGGAGAGGCAGTCCCTCAGATAACCTGACCCTATGCCATTAAGGTCAAAACCAACTCCTTGAATTGGATCCAGAAGCAACAAAAAAGGATGTTGAGACTGTAGACAGAGTACAGAGAAGAGCAACAAAATGACATAAGCTCTAGAGAGATATTTTTGTAGGTCTTTGTACTGTTTAATTTCTTATCCTTATCTACAACATTATATCATGTCAACACGTCTCTGCCTTTATTTTGCATTTTCATGTAAGCCTGTCCATTGGATTTTCTCCTTTTATTCTTGTCAAGGAAACACACTTCAGTCACTCACAAATACTCTGCTTCTCTTTTCCTTAGAAGTGGTGTGTCTTTTTCAGACACATAAAAATCACCGTGCCCAGCTTTTCCAGTTATGCAGGTATGACTATATAAACAACTGTAAAAATGGCACCACAGGCAAGAGAAATATTCCAAATAGAAAACATGCTCACAAAGCATAGCATAAGACTATTTGCACAATTTATAAAGGCAGAGATGTTATTATTATGAAAAAGAATATGTGAACCGTTTCCAGGAATTATGCACTTTTGGTTGGCTTGTTTGTTTGTATTACTAAGAGTGAAAAAATATAACACATGTAGCTCAATATAATACATGTATCTCAACATTTATTCATAAGTACATTTGAAAGAATAGTGAGTTGACCTTTTGAGAACTGCAAAAAAAAAAAAAAAAAGCCTGGAAAAGTTCATAGACAATCCCAAATCTTCTGGACTCAAAATCTTAATAAAGGGTCCCCCCCCATTTCTCAAGTATTCACTATCTTAAGCAGCTTACAAAAAAATGAATGCAAGTTATTTTTCCTCTCTGCCATCCATTTAAACACTTAGCCTTCTGAAGGTGTTTTAATTTTAAAGAAAAGCAGGAGAGAGAAAGGGATTATTTCAGAATAGAGTTACGCACAAAGTTCAAGGGTATAAAATTAGAAGCCCCCCCAAATCTTCAGAAAATAACCTCAGAAATGCTGCCAAATTATCATTTTATCACAAGAGAAAGCAGACAGAACCAAATACATGGAGAAAAAGCATACTGATTGTTTTTAATATATCAGATTAGGTCCAGGGAGAGACTCAGCCATGAAAGCTCACTACGGTATGTGACTTTGAGCCAGTCATCTCATGGGGTTGCTGTTGTGGGAGAAAATATTATTTATCTCTACCACCATGAGCTTCTGAAGAAAAAAAGCAAGATATAAATCTAATGAATAAAATAAATTAAATTATATTTTACTTAATTATGCATTAGATCTAATTTAATATCTCCCCTAAATTATTTTTAAATTTTAGTATTTCAAGGTTAGCCTCCAGGCATGCCAACTGTATGTCTCTCAACCTGAAATACGCAGCATATTCTACTATAAATTAAAGATGCCATATCCCTTTTCAGTGTTCTCGGTGAGCTTGAAAAAAGATGCTGCCAGTTCCTTAAAATACCTTTATATTTTTCAGATTCATTTGGAAGCACCTGCTTTAATGATTGGCGGAGAAGGGCTCTCTTGAACTCCAGAGCAATTCTGAATCATCATAGAGAATATATAGTTCTAGGACAATGTTCTAACTGGTGGACTA